AGGGAATGGGAGGACTGCAGACAATACAACTCCAGGGCGGAGGTCAACAGCAGGTGATATCCGCCTCTCCCGCAGCTCTACAGAGTCTGAGTATAACTCCGTCGGGGAATATCGTGGCCAACGTTCCCAATGCTGGCCAACAGGTGGGGCCTATGAGTCCCGTTCAAGCCATTCAAATCGCAAACGCGGGCCAATTCATGACTCAGCAGATCCAACAGGACCCCAACGACCCCACGAAGTGGCAGTTGGTCTCCACGCCCACCAATGTGTCGGTTCAGAATCAACTTCAGGGCCAGTTTGCGGCCACGCCTACGACCGACGGGACGGCAACGCCGGGCAGTGAGCCGGGAACGGGTCGTAAGATGAGACGAGTGGCCTGTACTTGTCCTAACTGTCGCGACGGTGAGGGCAGGAATAGTGAGACTAAGAAGAAGCAACACATCTGTCATATTCCCGGATGTAATAAAGTATATGGAAAGACATCTCATCTGAGAGCTCACCTGCGATGGCACACAGGAGAACGACCCTTTGTCTGCAATTGGCTCTTCTGTGGCAAACGATTCACCCGTTCTGATGAACTACAGCGACATCGAAGGACACATACCGGTGCGCCCATCCATTCATTCACTCATTGGTAGTCGAGTTTAATTAGTGTTTTTGTTGCGGTTTTAGGCGAAAAGCGATTCCAATGCGCCGAATGTTTGAAGAGGTTTATGAGAAGCGATCACTTGTCGAAACACCTGAAGACACATCAGGCGAAGAAAGTGAGTCAACAGCAACAGAGCGACGACACGGCGCTCACTATCGCGGCCACGGCTGAGATGGCTATGGATTCGGAACAAACAGATCTGGCCATCAATGAGAGTGTTAGTGATGGCAATGCGGACGCACTTGTAGTACAGGGACAGCAGATTTGAGTTTACATTCATTGTTCATATAATGAATAATATATTGATTATTAGACTTGAAAAGAGACTTTTAATTATAAGTTTATAAATAATATACACAATATATTTGAGAATATATTTTATTAATAATGAAATAATTAACACATAATAGTAACTAATCATTGATTATAATTATTAGTAAATATTATAAATATTTATTCATTTTTTTCCTATGGTTTATAACAATCAATGAATTCATGTTTAAAAACTCATTGATCATTATATCATCACTTTTTCACTCATATTTGCGTTTAAATGCAAATTAATTTCATATACCATTTAAGCCAATAATTTCATCTCATTTTTGAATATTAATTTTTACTATAATTAATAATATATTTGTTTTTTGATCCAAATATATATTAAATTAATAATTAATTGAAAAGATCTTAATTGTTGAAAACAAAACACGTTTTTGATTATAAGTTAACTTAAAATTAGTTTAATTATGAAATATATTAATAATTTATATAATTTTAAAATAAAGTTTAAATATAATGCACAAAACGGATCGATCCATACAATCAACTTGTTATCCGTTTTATTATAACAATTCATTTAATGTCTTATTTTTCGTTATTGTTTTAAGTTTTTGAAAAATATTAAAGTTTTCATTTTAATTGATATTACAATTCATTTCACAAATGTTTAATTCATTAAAATTAATATTCATATGAATTGTGTATAAAAGAGTGCACTTATAATACATTCCCTTTGTTTTGACCGGTATTTCGTGGAAAACATGTAATGATTGCATAACATTGCCATCACTTATACCTCTTATATTGGGATCAATTGCTTCATCTGTGCCATGGATTCCATGCATTCTCGATGTGATGTCCGATGTGTTGAATGCGATGATAGCGTTGTTATTGAGTTTGTTTATACTATAGACACCACTTCTCAGCGATCTTTTCACTTCAAACGCGACAAAAGCGAGACTTTGAGGCAAACATTCGCCAGAATTGCGTTGAATATCAACAAGTCTTTGAAGAAGAAGACAAAGACTAAGTCCAAGACCACCGCTCAAACCGATGCCCACACCGTTGACATTCAGCTCATCAGCGATGGGCTCAGCGTTTCTCAAGACTCGGCCAACACTCATGTCTGGAAATCAGGTCTTAACACGTGATTAGTTAACTGTAATTAAATATTCAATTGCCTAACAATTGGCATACATTTTAGGGCAAACTCTTGTGGTGGGAGTGAAGAAATACGATGTCTTCGTGAACGCGCCGACAGTCAAATGGATGCGATTACTCAAAGTATTGATGTCTTCGTTTAAAATCTATCCAATCATTTCACTTGAATTTTGTTCACTTAATGAATGCCAATACTATTGGTTTCGGGAATCAATTCAAACAATTAATAGTACTGTCGTTGAGATGGGAACCGATAAACAAACAAAACAAACGGCCAAAGACTCTGAAAATAGTGATTGGATTTTAGTTGGAGAAGGATTTTATTACGAGACCACTAGTGATGATATCGGCTCTAAACTCAAAGTGGTTTGTCATCCGTTGAATGGCAGACAATGCGAAGCCATTTCGGAGCATCCGATTGAAGCGAATCCCGGTTTGTGTCCATTTGAAGAGAGGACTATGTTTTGCCAAAATGCTGTCAATTTTGGCTCATTTCGTATCGTTTCGTACAATATATTGGCCAACATTTACGCGGATCA